AAATCACTCATTCCTCACACGAGAGAATTTTTACGTTTGACAGCTGATTGTTTAACCAAATTCGGATTGCGATTGATCATGGGCGAAAACATGTTTCTCAATGCAACAGTTGTTATGCGCTTTCAATCAGGTCACGTAACCCCCATTCTCTGCTATAAGGGGCCATCAACACAGACATTTTGCTTACCGTGAACTCAGTTTATTTTTGTTCAATCCTCCTCCTCCTCCTCATCATCATCTTACAGCGAAATACAGTGAGTCGAACTTCACTGATAGCTGCCAAACTCACAATGCATACAAGTTTAGTGGTAAAGTCGAAGGTGGACAGGGACTGGAAATGCTTTGAGGGAGAGAAAAGAAGGTGCATCACTATGGTCAACACTCAGAATGCACAATGGAACTCTGCATAAATACCGCTTCAAGCGTTCTGGCCTGATAAGAAACAACAATAAGAACGCTACTGCTGTCGGTTCGCTGCCATATCCTTCAATGTCTCCAACCAAACGGTTGAGTCTTTCGAATTCCAACCTGGAAGGTGTGTGACACCTACTCTACCAAATACCTCCGTGCATTTCTTCATGACTCGTCTCCACGTCATCTGTTGACCTCCACATGATTTGCTCCAGCCAGGAGCGGATCCAACGAATAAAGCATGGTGAGACAGACGATGGCTGGGCATACGCAATACGTGCCCTAGCCAACGAAGTTTACCAATCTGAATTCGATGTGCTAGCAGGTTTACCTCCGATAGACTCCCAAACACTAAGCCGTTCGATCCATCCTATGCAGGCTAAACTGCGTAAACACAGACAATTGAAAACCTCTAGTCGATGGATATCTTCGCGAATTCAAGGTCTCACAACCATAAAGCATAACTGAACGAATGGTGGCACAATATACACGACCTTTCAACTTCAGTGAAACGTCGCGTCTACGCCAAAGGTGTTTCAATCCTGCGTATGCTGCCCGAGCCTTGGAAATGCGGGCGGTTATCTCCTTCGTTACGCTACCGTCATTAGTCACGCAACTACCTAAGGAGGAACAGAAATCCACCGTAACTANCTCCAGCATCACTTTGCACTTTGCAAATACAAAGCACAAACCGAATGTGGCCACTGCACTTGTTAGTCTATCAAGTGTGCTTATCTAGTCCTCCATACATTCGAACAGACGGACGACGTCATCGGCGTACTCTAAGTCACACAGCTTTTCTCCAGCTGACCATTCAATACTTACGTTTTGGAGACCACTAAGTGTGTCCTCCGGTATTTCGTCTACGACGAAATTGAACAGAAACGGCGAGAGAGAGCACCCTTGATGAACGCCGATGCTGGCGATGAACGCCTTACTTAGTTTATCATAGACCCATACACGACCAGAGGTATGTGAGTGCAGTGACCTCAGTAAGTTAACCCACTTCTGGGGCATTCCTTTTCGAAGAAGGGAGCCCATCAGAGCCTCGCGGTCTATTGAGTCGAAGGCTCCTTTCAAGTCAAGGAACACTAAGATCGTTGGTCGACGGCGGGTGTGATGCAGCCCAACGGCCTGACGTATCATTAAAATTTGATCAGTATATCCCCGGAATCCGGCTGGCTGTTCACGGATGTTGGTGTCTCTTTTGGTCGTCAAACGTCGAAGTATGACCGAGGCTAGCATTTCGCTGATGATCGGAATCAAACTGATCCCGCAGTGGTTTTCGCAATCGTTGCGAGATCCTTTCATGAAAATGGGAATGATAAGTGATTCGCCCCAAGATGAAGGAATGCGCTCTTACGTCCAAATGCCACGCAGTAAGGTAGATACTGCCCAGGAGGTTATCACCCCACATCTTGAAAAGAGTGGGAAGGAGCTCAACCGATCCTGTTGCATTTACTCGATACAGAGCCGGAATGGAAGACCGAACTTCTGCTTCCGTTGGAGGATAACACGACACTACCCAAGGAGCTTCAGTTGCAGATGAGGCAACCAGGTTAGTGGCAGGCCAGCTGAACTATTCTGCCCAGCGATCAAATCATTCATCCCTATTGTGAATAGCTCGTCCCCTTTAATCGCAGACTGTTTCACTAACTAGGGTTCGCCGACCTCCCGTATTGCGTATCAGTCGGAACAGTTTTTGACTATTTCCTGATGCAGCTGATACTTCCATTTTACTAGCTATTGTTACTCACCAGTTCTCACGGTCCTTCTTGAGGCTCTTCTTAAGCTGACGTTGTAGATGCCACCTAACTCTATTGTGATCCTGTCAGGTAGAGGTTTCTCGTCTTTTNTCGTCTTTTCTCCATCAGGGCTACTGACTCCTGAGATTATCAATACCTCCGACGGGCTTGAGGCTCAGACCCACAAGCAACCTTCACTGCGAAATGCATTGCTCGCCTAATCTGATCCCATTGCTCATCTACACCACCAGGTTGACCCCACGTTCTAGCTCTGATTCATAGCGGGCACGAACTGCTGTTACAGATAGTCGATGATGAGCTTTACGAATTTGGTGGTTTTGTCGCCGACCAGTCAGTCTTAGAGTGAACTGCATCAAAACTAATGCGTGGTCAGACTCAACGCAGGTGGTCCAATAGGA